CTGAACAGCGCAGCGGGGGCGCATCTGCCTTCCCGACTGCGTGATCACAGAGAGGGAGGAGAGGGGGGAGAGGGCTGGCCACACAAAAAAAAAAAAAAAAAAAAAAAAAAAAAAAAAATGAAGGGGCTTCCCTGGTGACGCAGAGGTTGAGAGTCCGCCTGCCAATGCAGGGGACACGGGTTCGAGCCCTGGTCCGGGAAGATCCCACGTGCCGTGGAGCAACTAAGCCCATGCACCACAACTACTGAGCCTGTGCTCTACAGCCCACAATCCACAACTACTGAGCCCATGTGCCACAGCTACTGAAACCTGCGCACCTAGAGCCTGTGCTCTGCAATAAGAGAAGCCACGACGGTGAGAAGCCCGCACACCGCAACTAGAGAAAGCCCACGCCCAGCAACGAAAACCCAATGCAGCCAAAAATAAAATTAATTAATTAATTAATTAAATTTATTTTAAAAAACAGAATACATGACTAATCAATGGATTTGAAATAGTATTTTGTTAGTGTTGTGGTGGTTGCAGGAAATATATATTTCCTTAGTTATTTCAAATGTATTTCTAATTAGCTTCCTTAGAAATACTTTGGGAAATTAAGTTTAATTACTATATAAGCTTTTTCTGTACAAGTGGGTCTCCTGTTTTCCATCTTTGCTGCATTTCTCTCTTTCCAAAGCCCAAGGCAAATCTTACTCTTGGGTTATAAAAGAAAGTGCTTTAGAGGGAGGGACACACTATTAGGAGGATACAGGGTAGAAAATTATCTCTTACACTTGAAACGGTTTATAAAGCAAGGTTGAAACACGATCAGTTCTAAAAATAAGTCTAGGAGGTATGTCTATTTTTTAAAAGAGCTTTTTAGGCTTCCATTTCTGGTATAGTTTACTTTAAAATGCTAAATATATAAATCTTTTTTGGAGGAATCTCTTCTAATTGTGTTCGTATTTACCTTAATTTTTTTTTAGCGCTGTCAAAGGGAAAACCCCCCAAGCGGGTGACAGAGTATTGGTTGAAGCTACGTATAATCCCAATATGCCTTTTAAATGGAATGCACAAAGAATTCAAACACTACCAAATCAGGTATATAAAATAGGTATTATGAAAACTTGGTGGTTGGGTCTTCCAGTTTACAAAGATTTTTCTTTTTAAAAATTTTTTTTCTTTATTTTTGTTAAGAATCAGTCGCAAACCCAACCTTTACTGAAGACTCCTCCTGCCGTACTTCAGCCAATTGCACCACAGACGACATTTGGTGTTCAGGCTCAGCCCCAGCCCCAGTCACTGCTGCAGGCACAGATTTCAGCAGCCTCTATTACGCCACTATTGCAGACACAGCCCCAGCCTTTATTACAGCAGCCACAGCAGAAAGGTATTACATGCAATGTATCTTTTCCTTTTAGGGTTCAGACTAACACACAAATGTTCGGTTATTGAAATAATGAGAGTATGGTATTAATTACAAAAAAGGCAGGAACTTCCAGAATACTTGAAAGGAAACTTAAATATCTTGTGTTAAGCACTTCTACTTGTATAGCGATTTGGAAGTGTTTTATTTTATTTCTCTTATTCAAAGACGTACTCTTTGTGAACTTAAATATCAAAACTAATAATCCCCTGTCCCCCTATTGGCATCTTATCATTTACAGAAGAAAATGTTTTGAGTCTTATTTTCTTAATGAACATAACATTTTATATACATGTAGAATATACATGGCAGCACTTTACTCATTGAACCATAGTGCATCAAATAAATGAGCTGTGTTTTATTTTTTTCTTTTTATTTTTTTAAATAAATTTATTTATGGCTGCGTTGGGTCTTCGTTGCTGCCCACAGGATTCTCTAGTTGCGGAGAGTGGGGGCTACTCTTCGTTGTGGTGCGCGAGCTTCTCATCGTGGTGGCTTCTCTTTGTTGTGGAGCACGGGCTCTAGGCACATGGGCTTCAGCAGTTTGGGCTCGCGGGCTCTAGAGTGCAGGCTCAGTAGTTGTGGCGCACGGGCTTAGTTGCTCCGCGGCATGTGGGATCTTCCCAGACCAGGGCTGGAACCCGTGTCCCCTGCATTGGCAGGCGGATTCTTAACCACTGCGCCACCAGGGAAGTCCCTGAGCTGTGTGCGGGTTTTTTTGTTGTTGTTGTTGTTTTTAATTTATTTATTTTTGGCTGCATTGGGTCTTTGTTGCTGCACGCGGGTTTCTCCCTAGCTGTGGCGAGTAGGGGCTGCTCTTCATTGCGGTGCACGGGCTTCTCATTGCATTGGCTGCTCTTGTTGCGGAGCACGGGCTCTAGGCATGCAGGCTTCAGTAGTTGTGGCACGCGGGCTCTAGAGCGCATGCCCAGTAGTTGTGGCGCATGAGCTTAACTGCTGCGTGGCGTGTGGGATCTTCCCGGACAAGGGCTCAAACCCGTTTCCCCTGCATTGGCAGTTTGATTCTTAACCACTGCACCACCAGGGAAGCCCTGAGCTGTGTTTTAAATTTTCTTTTGCAAATTGATAATTTGAAACTCTGTACGTTTTCTTATCAAAATAATATTAAAAATGATAGCCTTGACTTTAGCAGAAGTCTGCTTAATTGGTATTTTTTTAAAATGTAATTGTGGCATTTTCTCTTATCATAAATTGACACAAATATAGCAAAGTTACAAAACAGATTTCAGTGTAATGAGTTATTAAAATGAGCATGCGTGTAATCACTACTTGTTAACTATTTTTCTTTTTTAATAGTTTTACTCTAAGTATGCATGTTCATAAATATACTTTAGTTTTGTTTGTTTTTGAATTTTACATAATGTGTGATTCCACCTATAGAATCTTTTCTGTAAGACTTTTGTTCAACATTATGTTTTAAAGTTTTTCATATTTATTCCATGTGGCTCTAGTTTCTTTGTTTTCATTATTGCACAATATTCCATTGTATGACTATTGTACAATATTCCATTGTATGAATATTGTACAGTTTATATGTTTTTCTTTGCTAAACGTTTGGATTGTTTCTAGTTTTTGTTTTCTGAAAACACTGCTGTGAGTGGTCATAATGCAAGCATTATGACATTTCACCCCTGTTTATATTAAGCATGCCTTTCCTAAAAGAGAATCCTTTCCTATATTACCAGAATCTACTGTCACTTCTAAGAAGAAGCATTTAGATACCCTGTTTATATTCAGACCTCCCCAGTTGTCTCCGAAATGTCTTTTAAAAAGGTTGTTTTTTGTTTCCTAAACGAAAAGGTAGTCAAGTTTCATGTGTTGTATCTGGTTATGTTTCTTTAGTCTTTTTTATTCCAAAATGTTTTTTGTTTCTTCGTTTATAACATTGACTTTTTAAGAAATTGGTCTAGTTGACTTGTAGATTCTTTCGGAATGTTGTGTTCTGGATTTGTCTTGATTCCTTATTTTATTTTCACCTTGTTTCTCATTCTGCCATATAAACTATAAACTGGAAGTTAAGTCTAAAGGCTTTTGGCAAGACTACATTATAGGTGATGTTTTCTAATTCATACTGCATCATACTAGAAGGCACGTGTAGTTAGATTCTTCTACTGTTATTGATGTTAAATTTGATTACTTGGTCAAGTGGTGGCTGTAGATCTCTCCATTACAGAGGTTCTTTTTCTTTGTGTGGATAATGTCTGGATGATACTTTGGTGTTCTGCTAATGTCTTGTTGTATAGCGGTCTTTGGTTTAATATCTGTAGGTCAGAGATTGGCAAACTACACCTCTTGGATTTGGTCTGTGGCCTGGTTTTCTATGGTCCCTGAGCTAAAAATGGTTTTTACATTTTTAAACAATTATTTTAAAATATACAAATATGCAGATGGTCTCTACCATTTACCATTTATGGGTCACAAAACCTAAAATATTAGCCAAATTTTTCTGTATAAAATTTGACCAAGTAATGCTTTTGAGCTTCATTTAAATAAATTAAAACATCTTTTTCTGTGTCTTTTAAAGCTGGTTTATTGCAACCTCCTGTCCGTATAGTTTCACAGCCACAACCAGCACGAAGGTTAGATCCACCATCCAGATTTTCAGGAAGAAATGACAGAGGGGATCAAGTGCCCAACAGAAAAGATGACCGAAGGTATGTTTTTAAAAGTATACTTTTGATGGTGGTGATGGTTGCACAGTGTGAATGCACTTAATGCCACTGAACTGTATACTTCAAAATGGTTAAAATGGTAAGTTTATTATATTATTTATATTTTACCACAATTTTCAAAAAGTTATTAAAAATGTATACTGTGGATTTTTGCTTATATTACCTGTGACATTTATTTCACTAAAGAACTCTTCAGTAATGCCAGAAATAATAGTAATTTTAGAAAAATTTGCTTTAAGTCGTGAAAGGGAGAGAGAAAGACGTAGATCCAGAGAAAGATCTCCTCAGAGAAAACGTTCCCGGGAGAGATCTCCTCGAAGAGAGAGAGAACGGTCACCTCGGAGAGTTCGACGTGTTGTTCCACGTTACACAGTTCAGTTTTCAAAGTTTTCTTTAGATTGGTAAGTTCTTTTTTTCCCCATTGTTTTCTTAAATTACTAATTTCATAATTTTGTGTAATTTGGAGGAATGTGATACATTGAGAGATATTTTTCTTACAACTTTCATTTCCTGACATTTGGTGCTCTTAGTTATATAAGGGCAGAAATGCATTTGAAGTAGCATTTTAGTTGCAAGAGTGCATTATTTTCATACACTCATTAAAGATACCAGCCACTGAAAAAGGCAGCCCCTCTGTAATGGAGTAGTTCCTTAAAGGTAAAATTATTTAAGATTCAGATTTATTGATAACTTTACTAAGGGCTTACATAGTTCATTATGTATGATGAAGTAATGATACAGTAGTAACCAATTATTTTAAGTTAGCTGTGGCCATGTAGTATAATAGAAACACAGGTCTACATATATACTCACAAGACACGTAACATAAACACATATGTGTGTATACATCAATACATTTTTTAGCCTTTGAAATCAGAGGTCAGTAGAAAGTTACCAAGAATTTCTGAGCTTCACTTGTGAAATGGAACTTATATCAACTAGCAGAATTATTGTGAGGTTGAGTTGATTTCATGTATCTAAAGCACCTATAACCCAGTGTATGGCAGTTGTAGATACTCAGTGGTGGTTGGGATGTGGTGACCAACTAGGTAATAGCTGGAAAATCCTAATTCATGTAGAGGCAAATTGGTAAATGACTAATTTGCTCTAATGGAGAGGAAGAATCATCTAAAGGTCTTGGGGCTGGCAATTGTGTGTAAGATAAATTAATAGATGGAAAAAACAAATTTACAGTAAAATAAGAAAAATGAATCATTAATAGTGTTTAAAGCTGTTCGGCATAGGAACAAATAACTGTGCGCAGTGTCTTGAGAGGGTATTGTTGCATGTCAGCAAAGTATAATAATTAATATTCATAATACTGGCCTACAAAAGTTAAAATTTCTATTTATTCAGTTCTAGATTGAGTAAATCAGTGTAGTATTTAAGCTACTCAGTGCCCAAAAAAATCTTGCTTGATGACTTTGCTTAATTGTTAATGTAGTAGATGTTCATTTACTCTTGCATGTGGTCAAATCATCAACTATTCTTAATTTTTACTAGTTTTCTTGTTATCCCTGTTTACTTGTATACTTAAAAAATATCTTGTCTGCATATTTCAGAGAAATTCATTGGAAACAAAACCACTTCTCCAGCCCCAGAAATATTAACTAGAGCAGCTCTGCTTTTAAACTCATCAGTCTAGAATGCTATTCTGGGAGGAGCTGATACTTAGGATATAAATTGAGCAGCTGTCTTTCTCCTTCCAAGTTAAATCTTGACAGTTTCACTTCATTACTTTTTTGCTGTACGCGGGCCTCTCACTGTTGTGGCCTCTCCCGTCGCAGAGCACAGGCTCCGGACACGCAGGCTCAGTGGCCATGGCTCACAGGCCCAGCTACTCCGCGGCATGTGGGATCTTCCCGGACCGGGGCACGAACCCGTGTCCCCTGCATCGGCAAGTGGACTCCCAACCACTGTGCCACTAGGGAAGCCCCATTCTATAGTTCTTATTTTTAGGTTTCACATAAAAAGACATCCCTGTAGATACATTAGTTCATATTACGTACTCTTGCCTTTAGTTGTCATTTGAAAGGACGGTGTAGTTATCTTTTCATCTTACAGACTATTGGTGTTTTCCACTCTTCATTATGCTTTTAACAGAAATCTCTTGGCCTATTAACCAGATTGATTTACTTTTGAGTTTCTCTCCTTTAAAAGCTCTGTTTCTTAGGAAAAAGTAAATAGTCCTTTAAAAAAAAAATTCATTATGCCAGATTTAAAAGGCAAGAAACTTATCCTCTCTTTACATAGTAAATAATCAGGTATGGATCTTAATCATTAGATAGAGAGGTATGGAGATGTGGATAATCCAAAAAACGTTTGGATTTTGTTTTCATGTAGACTTTTATATTTAATTTTAAATTAACTATGCCTGATCTGGGATCTTACTGTAGAATAAAGGTTGTATTTTTTCCGACACTGTATAAACCTGATTGAGGAACACTCATACTAATTGGTACCACTCTTATTCCTTTTTTATATCCATTTTATATGAATCATAATTTTCTCAAAAATGCAGCTTCAACTGAGGCAGAATTGCTTTTGTTCAGATCTTTTCTGGAGCTTGAAGTTATTTCAAAGGGTCTTGTCTAAATGAATTTTAAGCTACACACAAAAAATAAAGAAATAACGGTAACACGTAGATACTAGTTATTTATTCAAAGCTGTAAGTAAACATATTTGAAAATGACATTTTCATGTACTTCTATGTAAATCTATAGCTCATTCATTAACAGTGACTGTTCATTTTCAGCTGGCTGTTAACTGTATCAAATTATATATTTAGCTTTAGAATTGAATGAATCTTTGCATAGTATTTGGTGTTAAGGCTCTTTATTCACTCCTTATGTCTGTTTTTCAGTCCTAGTTGTGACATGATGGAACTAAGGCGCCGTTATCAGAATTTATATATACCTAGTGACTTTTTTGATGCTCAGTTTACATGGGTGGATGCTTTCCCTTTGTCAAGACCATTTCAGCTGGGAAATTACTGCAATTTTTATGTAATGCACAGAGAAGTAGAGTCCTTAGAGAAAAATATGGCCATTCTTGATCCACCAGATGCTGATCACTTATACAGTGCAAAGGTTTGTATTCTGTGATACACAGCTAAAATTTCTGAGTAGTTATTCATATTAAGAATGTATGTGGAATTAATCTTCAGAAAGTGGTTATTACATTTAAGATCTGAATGCCTGTGTTTTCTTCTTGTCTCCCAGATTCTGTTTTGGTTATTTAAGTAATTTAACCTCTTTTTGCCTTAACTCTTGAGCTGTAAAAATGTTGTTATTGCTTTAACATTTTGAACCTTATAAAAATGTGAAGCTGAAGTTCATTTTATTGAGCTTTTTGGAATGTTCTGTGACTTCTGGTAGCCCCAGATAAAAATGTAATGTTGGGTGAATGCACTATATGTGAGTCTTCAGGGTAACATTCAGTACATTGTTTATGGTCAGTAGTTTTCTGCTATTCGAAAAACATTGATCAAAAAGCATTCCTTGAAAAGTTAAAACTATGTAATTATAAGGTATCTAATACCATTTCTGCTATAGTGTTTTACTTTCCATTTTTATAAAAAACTTCAGATATCTATTATGTAAGGATAATTAGTAGTGCTTCTCATTTTTTTACATTACTTTAGACTTTTGACAGGATTGAATTATTTGACTATAATAGGTAATGCTGATGGCTAGCCCTAGTATGGAAGATTTGTATCATAAGTCATGTGCTCTTGCTGAAGACCCACAAGAACTTCGAGATGGATTTCAACATCCTGCTAGACTTGTTAAGGTAAAGTGAAACATTTATTTTAACTTTAGGTGTATATTTGCTTTGCTTAGTTCTAACTGTGTATATATAGAATTAAAAAATACTACCATTTAAATTTTGTTGATTTGTTTTATATCTAATTTTAATATAGTTACGGCACTCAATGATGTAGATGTTTTTCTCATTGCAGATTAACGGCTATATCTTATTTGTATGTCACTAGTTCAACTGTCGTTTTGATGTTTTATATTTGAAGCATAGTAAAATCTTAGTGATAATGGGTTTAGTGTATCAGGATGCTCTTAAACTTTGAATTATAGCTTGTTTCTTTAAAAGAACTTTTTATCTGAGGAAATATTTTAGAAGGATGAGTTATGATGTATAAATCCTATTCCATTGCTGAAATGCAGTGTGGAACACGATGAACTGAACTCTTCCTTGACTGACAGATACCCGAGGTAGTAAAAATGATATTAGAAAGGTTTGTTCCTTTACTTTTCCAGTATTTCATTTGTAATTTGACAAGTTGCATAATATATGTAAATGATTCTTTGTTTTAAATTAGTTTTTAGTGGGCATGAAAGGCAAGGATGAAGCCATGGCCATTGGTGGCCACTGGTCTCCTTCGTTGGATGGACCAGACCCAGAAAAAGACCCCTCTGTGTTGATTAAGACTGCTATTCGTTGTTGTAAGGCTCTGACAGGCATTGATCTAAGTGTATGCACACAATGGTAAGTACCAATTCATTTCTTGATTAGAAATGTTTTTCTAATAGTTATATAGATGTTCTTGTCTATCAGCCTTCTCCCCCACCCCTTATTTTAGCAATCTTGATCATGCAGGTAATCTCAAAGGAAAATACTAATTTTAGCAAAAGTTTATTTGGTGCCAAAAATGTTTGGGGGAAAAAGGATTAAGAACTAATCAAAATAAACTGAAATTTTTAATGTTTTGTTATGCTGAACTTTGGAAGTTGGATGTATGTTGAAAATATTTTTCATTTCATGCATAGCTGGAGAAGATCGTCAAGAGAGAACTTCATTTCATTATAATTCTTTTGTTATAAAATGATGTAGTTGCTGATTATTTTTGTTCAGCCATATTTTCTCTTGAGGCTTATTTGTCCTGTGTATTTTAGTATATTTCTTGTGACTTAATTGAGAATATTCTTTTTTTAGCACATGAAATCTGAACAGCTATCCAGCTTCTTCAGGTATTCTCTAAAATATGGGTAGCTCTGTAATCAAACTTTGAAAATGCCTTGGGGAACATATTCTTCTTTTAACCATAAAATATTGTACAAATGTACCAAAAGAGGAACTATGGCTTCTATAATTTTTTTTTCTTTAGACCAACCTCAAGTTCTTGCAGCAAAATTTCTTTACTTGATGTGCTACAAGTGAACTAGGGTCTTTAAAATGTATTTTAGAATTTTTTTTCCAACATGCTTCTTCCCTTGCAACAGGTACCGTTTTGCAGAGATTCGCTACCATCGCCCTGAGGAGACCCACAAGGGGCGTACAGTTCCAGCTCATGTGGAGACAGTGGTTTTATTTTTCCCGGATGTTTGGCATTGCCTTCCCACCCGCTCAGAGTGGGAAACCCTCTCCCGAGGATACAAGCAGCAGCTGGTCGAGAAGCTTCAGGGTGAACGCAAGGAGGCTGATGGAGAACAGGCACTGAACGCTAATCCCTTTTTCTATTTCCGCTTCTCACAGGCACAGGAACACAGGCACAAATGCACACCACACACTACATAACAAACACACATGGAGGAACATAACTGGTAACAGCGACTGGTAATCCAGCTTTCAGCAGTATAGTTGTATGTTCTTTTCTCTTAAAAAAAAAAATCTGTCTATTCTAACTTTAAGAGTGCTGAGACCTCAAAGGAAAATAAGTTGTGCTTAAATTGCACAGAATTTTGTTTTTATCATAGGTCTAGTTGCTGGAATCTGGGACCAGTTGTTGAGCAAGATTCAGTATTAAGCCATTTTAAACATTTTGCCATTTTCTAAAATTTAAAAAATTTTCTCTTTCACGGTCATCAGTTCTAGTCATGGATATTTGAAATTGGACAACCACAAGTCTGAGAGATTTGAAATTTCAGGCTATGTGGCATCGTCTTTGGTACATTTGAAAGGTCTGACTAAATCAGTCTTAACTTTGGGTGGCTTGAAAATTGGGGCAAGATCACACACTGTTTGGTTAGTGGAGATCGGCAGTGTTTGTGCATCCCTGATATCCTTTGTGTTGTAATTTATCACCCTTTTGTGTTTCACAGATCTGGCTTTGATTGGCTGATGAGTGTCTTTGTGATCAGTTAAAAGTGGTAGAATGTATGTACGTGGACTTGCCTAAATAATAACTTTAGGAGAAGACAATCTGAAACATTTGTGACCTTGCACAGATCAGCAACAGACTTTTAAAAGTAAATTACCTTTATTTTAAGGTTTCAGAATAGTAATTCTGTTCTTTACTTTGTATATCAGGATGAAGAAGAGAAGGATGATGGTGAAGCTAAAGAAATTTCCACTCCTACCCATTGGTCTAAACTTGACCCGAAGACAATGAAGGTAACTTTGAAAGTAATGGTATTTAATTTGGAATCTCTGAACAGGAATAGAGGATGTTGTGGACAGTAGTTTTTCAGATATAAGCCATTAGAAATGAAGTCCACTGGTTTTATATAAATATTCTTTGTTGTTTGTGTGTGTGTGTGTCAAAATTAAATAAAAGGTGACTTCATACATCAGCCACTGTCGAATGTAATATACATGTGCCTATAGTATGAGCAATATTTGCTTTTTGCTTTGGGAACTAACCAAGAGGTGGAATTTCTGCACTTAATTAACTTAAATTCAAGCAGAAGGAATGAAACATAGGAAAGAGATTATGCAGTTTTAAAATAAAATTTAAAAATAAAATGTGGATTGATATACATCTGAAATAGGAAGAAGATAATTTAAGAGGCTTTTTTGAAAATCTTTGATTAACCCATCATACTAGTTTGTTTTTGCTCCCCAGTGTCTTTGGACCTATTATCTTTTTGCAGTTTTGCATCTCTGGGCCTATATTGTGAATGTAGATCCATAGATTCTACGTATATAAATTCTACATAGATCAGAAGATCAGAAGCTGGCTTGCTTTTGCAACTTCCTGTTTAACACATAAAAGCTGACCTTTTTATTAACTTCTGTCCTCAGCAAAATACAGGTTTTTTTCTTTTTTATGAAAGTCTAGTTTTTAAACCAGCATTGCTTTGTTTGTTTGTTTTTTGCGGTACGCGGGCCTCTCACTGTTGTGGCCTCTCCCGTTTTGGAGCACAGGCTCCGGACGCGCAGGCTCAGCGGCCATGGCTCACGGGCCCAGCCGCTCCGCGGCATGTGGGATCTTCCTGGACCCGGGCACGAACCCGTGTCCCCTGCATCAGCAGGCGGACTGTCAACCACTGCGCCACCAGGGAAGCCCAACATTGCTTTTTTAGTAGAGAATGTGTATCATAAGAATGTGCTCTTCTTACACTATGCCAAGTTATTTTCCTCAACATCAGGTTTCATATAGAGTGCTATAGATTCAGAAAGTTAGATTAAGCCTGCACTCCAAGGACTTTTTGTCAAACTGATGGCTCTGCTATTGTTTCTTATTTTAAAGTTTGTATTCCTTTTCTTCTTTTTATGAATAGAAATTTATTATTTGTAAAGCACATTTCCAATAAAATTGGGATGATTTTCAGTATCTCTCCCTTAATAAAGAAAAATTTTAGTAAACAAGATGACAAATTACCCATATTATCACGAGAAATCTTTTTTTCTTTTTTAACATCTTTGTTGGAGTATAATCGCTTTACAATGTTGTGTTAGTTTCTGCTGTATAACAAAGTGAATCAGTTATACATATACATATATCCCAATATCCCCTCCCTCTTGGATCTACCTATCCCACCCCTCTAGGTGGTCACAAAGCACCGAGTTGATCTCCCCATGCAATGCAGTTGCTTCCCACTAGCTGTCTATTTTACATTTGGTAGTGTATATATGTCAATGCTACTCTCACTTCGTCCCAGCTTACCCTTCTCCCTCCCCATGTCCTCAAGTCCATAATCTACGTCTGCATCTTTATTGCTGTTCTGCCCCTAGGTTCATCAGAACCTTTTTTTTTAGATTCCATGTATATGTGTTAGCGTACGGTATTTGTTTTTCTCTTTGACTTACTTCACTCTGTGTGACAGACTCTAGGTCCATCCACCTCACTACAAATAACTCAATTTTGTTTCTTTTTATGGCTGTATAATATTTTATATATATATGTGCCACATCTTCTTTATCCATTCATCTGTCGATGGACACTTAGTTTGCTTCCATGTACTGGGTATTGTAAATACTGCTGCAATGAACATTGTGGTACATGACTTCTTTTGAATTACGGTTTTCTCAGGGTATATGCCCAGTAGTGGGATTGCTGGGTGATATGGTAGTTCTGTTTTTAGTTTTTTAAGGAACCTCCATACTGTTCTCCATAGTGGCTGTATCAATTTACATTCCCACCAACAATGCGAGAGGGTTCCCTTTTCTTCACACCCTCTCCAGCATTTACTGTTTGTAGGTTTTTTGATGAAAACTTGTATTACTTTTGATTATAAATATAAGGCATGCTTATTTTAAAAATTGGTGTATGCATAAAATATTGAAGAAAAAAATTTCTCAAGCCTTTCATTCAAACACAGCTTTTCTTTAAAATTCTATGCATTTATATATGGAATTTAAGAAAAAACAAAACTGTCATGAAGAACCTAGGGGTAAGACAGGAATAAAGACTGTGTCCTACTAGACCTACTAGAGAATGGACTTCAGGATATGGGGAGGGGGAAAGGTAAGGAGTGACAAAGCGAGAGAGAGGCATGGACATATATACACTACCAAACGTAAGGTAGATAGCTAGTGGGAAGCAGCCACATAGTACAGGGAGATCAGCTCGGTGCTTTGTGACCGCCTGGAGGGGTGGGATAGGGAGGGTGGGAGGGAGGGAGTCGCAAGAGGGAAGAGATATGGGAACATATGTATATGTATAACTGATTCACTTTGTTATAAAGCAGAAACTAACACACCATTGTAAAGCAATTATACTCCAATAAAGATGTTAAAAAAAATTCTATGTATTATTTTCCATTATATTTTCTGGGTACAAGCTGGTTGGTTGGTTGGTTGTTTGGTTCTAATCATGTTGTGTAAAAAAGTTGCTGTCTCCTTTTCAATTAATAATAGAGTTTCACATGTAATTATTTTTAAATGTTCTATACTGTTCCATTTAGTTGATGTACTGCTTTTTTTTCTTTGGTATTACCCTTTTATTGGATATTTAGATTCTTCACTTTTTTGGAGGAAGGGATTATGACAAGGAATGTATCCATATAAAAAGTTTCTTTCTTGTGTTTAGGTTATTTCCTTAGGGTAAATTCGCAGAAATTAGAATTTCTGGGTCAAAGAGCATTAACTTCTTAAAAGCATCTTAAAACATGTTGCAAATTATTTTCAAAAAATACTCTGTCGGTTTGCATTTTCACAAACCTTTTTATGAGCTGTACAACTGTCCCTTTCACCAAAATTTAAAAAAAAACCACACAGAAGATCATTGCACAGCTCCCTATTTCACTATCCTGTTTTCTTTTTCTGTGTTTTTATGGTGTGTATATTTAGGTAAATGATCTCCGAAAAGAATTAGAAAGTCGAGCTCTTAGTTCCAAAGGGTTAAAATCCCAGTTAATAGCCCGATTGACAAAACAGCTTAAAGTAGAAGAGCAAAAAGAAGAACAAAAGGAATTAGAGAAATCTGAGAAAGAAGAGGAAGAGGAGGATGATAGGAAATCTGAAGATGATAAAGAGGTATATACTCCTAAAAATACCCTGTACCCCTTTGTAAGCATTTTCTTCTCCCACCCCTTCAGCTGCTGGAAGCCACTGATCTGTTTTCCTGTAGTTTGCCTTTTCCAATATATCATGTAAATGGAATTACATAACCTTTTTAGTCTGACCTCTTTAACTTAGCATGACGCATTAGAGATTCACCCATTTTATTGTGTTTCTATAGTTTGTTCCTTTACATTTCTGAATAGTATTCATAGTATCAGTGTATCACAGTTTGTTTATTCATTCTCCACTTGAGACACAGTTGAGTGATTTCCAAGTCACGTATTTTATTCCTCCCTCTTAAAAATGAATAATAATGTTTTAGATATAAAAAATGAAATGAAATTTGGTGGACAAAGCCACTAAGTTCAGAGATGGAGTTCTAGTGAAGTGCTTCTGTGAGAATTGTGCTGCTTTAAAGCTGTGTGTTTGATTGCATTTCAGTCCTTAAGACTCAGAGGCTGTTTATTCACTCCCATTTATGCCTCAGTCTTATGCCCAGAAGAGTAACTTATGGATGTTTTCTGAATTTGAAACATGGGGATATCAGAAGTGTGTTACAACACCAGTAATTGGATAAACTGACAGTATGTGTTTCCCGATGGAATGCATTGTGAAGTATACGTCATTATTTATGAAGTATTCCTGCCGAAAATGTTTTACCTTAATCTAATTGTAAGAAAACATATAAATTTAGAATGTACGAAATTCTACAAAGCAGCTTGTCTGAACTTTCAAAAAATGTCCATGTAATGAAGGAAGAAAAATGGTTTAGATTACAGAAGGTTAACAAGACATGACAACTGAATGCACTGAGCGAAACTTGACTGGATCCCGGATAGAGGGGGAAAAAGCCATAAAGAGTATTTTTGGGGTAATTGGAGAAATTTGATTATGGATGTGATATTAGATAATGAGGAACGGTTAAATTTCTTGGATGTGATAATGATTTTATAATTATGTAGGAAAATTACCTTGTTCTGAAGAGATGCATGATTTCTTATTTTACTATATAAGTTATATTTATTTTTATAGTGAAACTGTCTCAGAGTTGGCCAGCAGGAGGCCTTTCAAGTTGTCTTCTGTGTTCTTGGAAATGTTCTTGTCATTTTCTGAGAACTTTCTTATTTTGCAGCACAATACAGTGTTTTAGTCTCACCGTGTACTATCCCTGCCCTATTACTGAAATCAGCCATTTCCCCAGCAAGTCCTGGTATCTTTTAGTGAAGGATGGTACATCATATTTACTACAATAAAGTCATAAGTTTGTACTAATATCTCCAATTCTACTCCAACATCACAGAGTTCATTCTGGTTTTCTCTCTTTCCATGTATCTTAACTCCTTTCTCCAATAATGAGAAACATACCTTCTATTATACTTAATATATTTGCTTACTTTCTCAGTTGTCCATCATACTCCCTCTCCAATTTGAATATCCTCACTCTGCTCTCATTCCCTGCCCTGTGCTTTCTCTGTATGGATACCCTCCTTGCTTCATTTGGGTTTCAATTCCTGGTAACTGGGCAGCTCATCTGCTCTGGGCCATTGTAGCACTCCTTCCTCACTGCCTCCATCCCCTGTATAGACACCTGCTTTGCTTGTAGGAATTGCTTTAGAACTGAATTGTTCAGGACAGGAAGAGCAGAAAAAGAAGGCAAAGAGTTGATTTTCACTTTTTGATGTTAGTGGCCTTTGGTGCTCAAATCCTAGATGCATTGATTTATTGGGGTTCAAAAATGGTGATATCATAATTCTTATTCTGTGTTCACCTATTCCCCTCATCTGCTGTTTGGTTACCCAGGTGGTACAGGTTTGCCTTTTGGTAAATTCATATAGAAGAAGGCAGGATCAATACTTGATTCTTCTCTTTCTTTCTTTTTAAAATATAGAATATTAGGACTTCCTTGGTGGTCCAGTGGTTAAGACTCTGTGCTTCCACTGCAGGGGGCATGGGTTCAATCCCTGGTTGGGGAACTAAGATCCCACATACCACATGGTGCGGCCAAAAAATATTTGTGTGTGTGTGTGTGTGTGTGTGTGTGTGTGCTGCTAAATCAAGCACTATTTTTGTTTGTTTATCCAGCTTCCATGAAAATGCATTGGTTCCCTGCCATCTTCAGGTGGTTACCTGTTTGTTTTTATTTTATTTCTTTTTTTTGGCTGTGTTGGGTCTTCGTTGCTGCTTGAGGGCTTTCTCTAGTTGCAGTGAGCAGGGGCTACTCTTATTGCGGTGCGCGGGCCTCTCATTGCGGTGGCTTCTCTTGTTGCGGAGCACGGGCTCTAGGTGCACAGGCTTCAGTAGTTGTGGCACACGGGCTTGGTAGCTGTGGCTCATGGGCTCTAGAGTGCAGGCTCAGTAGTTGTGGCACACGGGCTTAGTTGCTCTGCGGCATGTGAGATCTTCCTGGAACAGGGCTGTAACCCATGTCCCCTGCATTGGCAGGCGGATTCTTACCCACTGTGCTACCAGGGAAGTCCAGTAATCGTTTTTTTGGGGTTTTTTTACATCTTTATTGGAATATAATTGCTTTACAATGGTGTGCTAGTTTCTGCTTTATAACAAAGTGAATCATTTATACATATACATATGTTCCCATATCTCTTCCCTCTTGCGTCTCCTTCCCTCCTACAGTAATAGTTTTTTATTTGTTTTGTTCCCTTGCTTTTGTTTTCTTTAAGGAATTCTGATGTCTTGTATTGACCTTTTTTGCTTCCTCAACATTGGTCACTTTTTCTTGAATACTTTTCATTTCTTTTTGATTTTTAAGATTTCCACATTACCTTCTGTTCTTTTAAGGCATTATCTCTTGAGTTTATTTTCTTTTTTATTCCTTCTAGTTTATTTTTAAATTTCTGAAACTGTCTTTTCTGATTGTTCCCTAAATTCTGTCACCTCATTTTCTTTTTGTTTTTTTTAGATATGGACCCTTTTTTTTTTTAATGTATATATTTATTTATTTATGGCTGCATTGGGTCTTCGTTGCTGCGCACGGGCTTTCTCTAGTTGCGGCGAGCGGGGGCTTGTTGCGGAGCACAGGCTCTAGGCGTGCGGGCTCAGTAGTTGTGGCTCGCAGGCTCTAGAGTGCAGGCTCAGTAGTTGTGGCGTACGGGCTTAGTTGCCCCGTGGCATGTGGGATCTTCCCGGACCAGGGCTCGAACCCGTGTCCCCTGCATTGGCAGGCGGATTCTTAACCACTGCACCACCAGGGAAGCCCTGGACAATTTTTAAAGTCTTTATTGAATTTGTTATAATATTGCTTCTGTTTTTTTTTTTTTTTTTTGATGTTTTGGTTTTTTGGCTGCAAGGCATGTGGGATCTTAGCTCCCTGACCAGGCATCAAACCTGAACTCCCTGCATTGGAAGGCAAAGTCATAACCACTGGACCACCAGGGAAGTCCCTGTCACCTCATTTTCTACTTCTAAAATTCTTATTCATGTTGTTCTTTCATATCTTGTAACATTTTCTTTTCCTTTTTTTAGTATTTATTTATTTGGTTGTGTCAGGTCTTAGTTGTGGCAGGCAGGCTCCTTAGTTGCGGCTCGCTGGCTCCTTAGTTGTGGCATGTGAACTCTTAGTTGTGGCCTGCATGTGGGATCTAGTTCCCTTACCAGGGATCAAATGCAGGCCCCCTTCATTGGGAGCACAGGGTCTTAACCACTTTGCCACCAGGGAAGTCCCTGTAACATTTTCTTAAAGTCTTTTAGCACACTTTAAAATAGTAAGTTAAGATTTTTATCTGCCTTTTGGCCATGGCTTTCTGGCCCACTTTCATTGTCTGCCAGAGATGTGATTCTGCTCCTTGTTCTTTTTTTTTTTCTAATAATAACTTTGGGATTTGACCTCAGTACTTTTCTACTGCTCGTGTTTATGTGAATGTAGTTTGCCTAAAGTTTATTAGGCGATTGCTTCAGATAGCTTTTCTAACTTCACAGAGCCCTGTGTTCTGTTATTTTCTTGTTCTGTCAGAAAATATGGTGGCTTGCTGAGATTTCGATCTTTATTGCCCTCTATCACTTTTTATCTGGACCTTCTCCTCCCTTGTCTCTGTTGTCCCTGTCCGGCTCACTATTGATTTTGTTCTCAGAAGTTTCTCCTCATTGTGGGGCCCTGTGCTGGAAGGATGCCCTGGTAAATCAGCTTTGCAAGTTCATAGGTAGGGCTAGAATGTCTGGGCCCTTTTAGATCTTAACACTGACCCCTTGTATACCCTTACTCACCTATTCCTATTTTTAGCTGCTATTCTTAAATTTACCTGCTGTGCTTTCCATTGCCTGATTATTTTATGGTTTTCCTGTTCTTAGATCCAACAGGCAACCTCGTTGCTTCCTTCTGCTTCCCCACACACACAGATGTCAGTAACACATAGATGTTGGGGTCTGCTCACTTGTATATTGGGGTTTGTGGGGATACCTTATCACCTCGTTTTGTTGTGCATATACATGGATTTTGGTTTTGGCATCTAGATTATTCTGTCTCTTTTTAAATGTGAGGAGTCAGGTAGACCCACAAACTATGTTACCACCACTGTTTTCCCAGAATCTCCTGATTTATATGATGTTAATATAGGTTTGTCGGGTTTTTTCCTCTTTAGAAGGCAATTTCTTATGCTGGGAAATTGAAAAGAAAGAGAATTAGGAGCCATAAAAGCTGCTGTCCTCTTTATTAAATTTGAACTTTGCTCCCTTCTTAGCCCTTAAGGTTGGTATTATCATCGTAAGGAGTCATAGAAATTTGCCCTTTTTCTTTACATATGGTATACATTTGGTATGTATACATAATGTACATGCAGGTTTAACCATTACTTAAAATTTCAAATATGTAGGAAGAAGAAAGAAAACGTCAAGAGGAACTAGAACGCCAGCGTCGGGAAAGAAGATATATTTTGCCTGATGAGCCAGCCATTGTTGTACATCCAAACTGGGCTGCAAAAAGTGGCAAGTTTGATTGTAGCATCATGTCTTTGAGTGTTCTTTTGGACTACAGATTAGAGGATAATAAAGAACATTCATTTGAGGTAATGTTTTAAGTTTGAATTGGGATCCAAATAAAGTTCACACGTTGGTTAATATATCTCTTAAATCTCTTTTGAGTGCCTCTTTCACTGTTTTTGTTTTTTGTATTTTCCTTACAGTGTATTTTTTGGGGAAAGAACAACCAGATGATGTTCGCTACAGACTTACTTTTGCTTATTGCATTCCTGTGATATGGTTTAAATGTTCTTCTGGCCTCTCTATTTCCCATAAATTGATATTTGGACCTAAAGTCTCAATCCGGTTCAGGTTCAATTATTTTTTTCCCAAGACTACATCACAGGTAGTGGTGTAGTGGTGTGTTCTTTTATCAGGATATTGGGAGACATGCGATACAATAATCTCTAATTGCTTCTGTTGGGAATGTGGTAGCACTTTATTATTTACTCTAGAATTAAAATACCATTTAGTGGGATTGAAACTTTTACTTGTGATTGATTTAGGTGTAAGATAAAATAATTAATGTTTATATTTTCAACATGAATCTGTTTCTTTGTACCATTACTTTAGAATAGCTTTACAACAAACAGTTCTTGTCATTTTTCAAAACAGTTGAAATGCACTTTCATCCCTAAGTAAGTGATTGCTTCATTCTTTAAACAAAACAATGTAAAATATCCCCAAATATCAGTTTTGTAAATAGCCTGTACAAAATTATAATTGTGTTCAATTATTGTATCTTATCAACATGTCTCACATTGTGTTATTTGATAAATTATATCATAAAAATCAATCATACCTACTTGACCCAGGAGGCATTGGTAAGATAAAAATGAAGTGCTTAGACTAGAGACATTTGCAAACAAATATAGAGGACTACTGAGGCAATTAATAAACATGAAATGCATGTTTATTGGTCTTGGAATAAACTATGTTACAATATTAACATATTTATATTTTTTGAAACATTGATAATTCCGGTAAGCCAGTGACCTTAAACATTATATACAATGTGATTTTATTTTTATTACCAATTGCCATAAATTTAACTCTTAAGAGTGCCTATCATGTAGTAATCATTCAAGAAGTAAATAAATGAAAAAAATAGTCTTTGGTATTACTGCTTAAAAAGTATATACTGTATACCTAACGGATGCTGTAAGAGGATGCCAAATTAATGCTGTTCGGTGGAAACAAGGTGATTTAGGAACAGCCCTCTGCTAGCAGAATGATCCTTTATTTTTCTTCCTCTCCACCTAACATACCCCCTTGGTTAGTTTCCTTTTAATCTATCATTAGAATGTAAGTCATTTTGGTATATGAATTTAAAAGAAATTATTACTAAGAAAAACCGTATATCAATAATAAATAAATTTTTGACTGATTTAATTTTAATGCTAGGTGTATCTTTGTCTTTCACTGCTTGTAGATGAAAAGAGATGTAGAATTAATACTTATCTTCTAGTTACTTCTCTAGGTTTCTTCCAAGCTAACACATTTTAATTGCTTTTTTGTTTGTTTGTTTTTTGATTATTTATTTATTTTTGGCTGCATTGGGTTTTCATTGGTGCACATGGGCTTTCTCTAGTTGTGGCGAGCAGGGGCTTCTCTTGTTGCGGAGCACAGGCTCTAGGCGCACGGGCTTCAGTAGTTGTGGCACGTGAGCTCAGTAGTTGTGGCTTGCAGGCTCTAGAGCGCAGGCTCAGTAGTTGTGGTGCACAGGCTTGGTTGCTCCGCGGCATGTGGGATCTTCCCGGACCTGGGATCGAACCCTTGTCCCCTGCATTGGCAGGTGGATTCTTAACCACTGCACCACCAAGGAAGTCCCTTAATTGCTTTTTATTTGAGTAATAGAGATAGAAAAGTCTAAGAAAAATATGTGACTCTTGCTATTTACTTACACAAATGGAGATTTTATTTAATTTTTACATTAATGATTAAGAGAAAAGAATTCTCAACATCTTAATGGTCATTTTACTGATAATAGATTTCTTTTTATTTAAATGTATAAAGATGGCATGAATGAAAGAAAAATAGATTGTAAGATCAATTATAGTTTTAATACATTGTATATTTCTTTCTGATCAGGAAAATAGTCTGATTGAAGTGTTTTACCAATTATACTGAACACATTGCCCAAAATTACATATTTTAGAACTGTTGTAACTATTTCAAGTTCTAGACCCTTTTAATCTGTTGAATGCAATTTCCTTAGATATATTTACATAGGGAATTTCCTGGCAGTCCAGTGGTTAGGACTCAGTGCTTTCACTGCCTGGGTCCAGGTTCAATCCCTGGTCGGGGAGTTAAGATATCCTACAAACCATGCGGCATGGCCAAAAGAAAGAAAGAAAAAAAGATATATTTACGTAGGATATTTAGTATATAATTTTAGGTTCATGAATATATTAAAGCTAATTATCCCTGGATCCTTGCATAGTAATAATGCTTACTCCCTACTCAAGAGTTTGATTTGGTTTCCCCTGCGTGGAATGCTCTTCTGAGTATCTATTTAATGGCTCATTCCCCTTGCTGCCCTCACATCACTTTTCAAACGTCACTTGATCAAAAAGGCCATCTCTGGCTACACTCCCTTGTTACTCTCTGTGCTCTTATCCTGCTTGTTTTTCTTATAATTCAATGTTGATTTGATTATTCCACACTTTGTCCCACTAGATTGTTAGCTTATGAGAGTTGGGATTTTTATCTGCTTTCTTCACTGCTGTATCCCCAGTGCCAAGAACAGTCCCTGGTACATAGTAGGCATTTCATAAAAACTTGTTGAGTACACCTCATGATAAATGTATATGATAAAGTAATGCAGTTATTATTTTTTGTAATATTTGGCCCAAAGTATACCAAACATAGTATTTATATCTTCAGGAGAGTTTTTGAGGATTTTGAGGCTACTCAGCATCATTGACATCAATTATTATAATTTTATTGTTACTGCACATTAATTGTCAGATGTGACAGATTATCATTTGATAAATTACTGATTTGCTGGATTTGTTCAATATTTCTATTAAAGTTGGCTGGGTTACTGTTTGTCTTTTTATAGGTTTCATTATTTGCAGAGCTTTTCAATGAAATGCTTCAAAGAGATTTTGGAGTCAGAATATACAAATCATTATTGTCTCTTCCTGAGAAAGAGGATAAAAAAGAAAAGGAAAAGAAAAGCAAAAAAGATGAGAGAAAAGATAAAAAAGAAGAAAGAGATGATGAAACTGAGGAGCCAAAACCCAAAAGGAGAAAATCAGGCGATGATAAAGATAAAAAAGAAGATAGAGATGAAAGGAAGGTCTGTAAATATTTCCAGGACCAGCAACCGGGTTTAGTTTCTAATTAGTCTTCTGGAGTGTAACACATAACAATGAATTCCATCAGAATAGTAAAATGTAAAGGCCAAACTAAAAACTTTTAGTGTATTATTAGAAATTTAAGTCTTTGAATTAAGCCTATATAAGCATCTGTAACTAGTTTTCTGGTACTTTATTCTTTAAGGTATATAGCATGATGGTTTGATTTATGTACATTGTGAATGGTAGTTTATTCTTAAAGTATATTATTGTTACAAGATATTTACAATGTGATACTATTTCAAGTAAATTTAGTCAATTTAATGTTTTTCTTTTAGTCATTTGATGTTTGGTGAGATCTTGCTTAATTTTAAGACATTTTAAATTACAGAAAGAAGATAAAAGAAAAGATGATTCTAAAGATGATGATGAAACTGAAGAAGATAATAATCAAGATGAATATGATCCAATGGAAGCAGAAGAAGCTGAGGATGAAGAAGATGGTATGATTCCAATTTATTTTCCCTTAGGATGAAAAATACAATTTTTGTTTGGGGACTTTGTATCACTGAAATCTATAATTATTTTTTAGACTAGAAACAGTAAAATATTCTCTAGTGAAAATATGTTAAGTATTGTTTTACTAATTTTTAGGTGAGAGGATTGTTTTAAGAAATGTTATTTTTAACTATCATATGTTCCATATATAATTAATGGTAACTCAACTTGAGGGAAAAAAAATTTCCCAAACGTGGTGTTAAAATGTGTCATGAAAAGGTATAATAGTCTTCCTTGTTTCATAGAATATAATCTTCTTCAGAAAACTAATTAATTATAAAGACTGTCATACAAGCAAAAGAGTACATATAGCATATAGAGTTTGAAGACTAATAATAATAAGCACCTGTATACCTATCACCCATGTTTTAAATAACAAACTTACCAGTAGTAATGATATTCAGAATACTTTACTAGTCATAGATGCCAGCCCTAAAGTACTTATGGAGTACCACTGAGTACCTGTCAGTTTCCATGTAGATTTGGGACTTTTTTAATTATTATTTATTTATTTATTTATGGCTGTGTTGGGTCTTCGTTTCTGTACATGTGCTTTCTCTAGTTGCGGCGAGCCGGGGCCACTCTTCATTGCGGTGCGCGGGCCTCTCACTGTCGCAGCCTCTCTTGTTGTGGAGCACAAGTTCCAGATGCGCAGGCTCAGTAGTTGTGGCTCACGGGCCTAGTTGCTCCGTGGCACATGGGATCCTCCCAGACCAGGGCTCGAACCCGTGTTTCCTGCATTGGCAGGCAAATTCTCAACCACTGTGCCACTAGGGAAGCCCAGGGACTTTTTAACAAAAAATTTTTTTTTTTTTGCGGTACACGGGCCTCTCACTGCTGTGGCCTCTCCTGCTGCGGAGCACAGGCTCCAGACGTGCAGACTCAGCGGCCATGGCTCACGGGCCCAGCCGCTCTGTGGCATGCAGGATCTTCCCAGACCGGGGCACGAACCTGTGTCCCCTGCATCGGCAGGCGGACTCTCAACCACTGTGCCACCAGGGAAACCCCCAAATTTTTTTTTGAGGTGACAAAATCATAAGAGTTTTTTTGTTTTGGTAGTACATACCTTTGAGGATTATTACTACTTAAGGTGTTTTTGGTTTGCCTCTACATTTTTTCTTTCTACGGCAGCATTTTATTTTTCTTCTAATTGATGAAAATATTCAGACATAAAAGAAGTTGAGAGAATAGTGCATTGAATACCTTATATCCCACAGTTGATTCAGTAGTTAATATTTTATCTTATTTGTGTTGTCTGTGTGTTTGCATGTGTATGTTTCTGATCCATTTGAAAGTAGGAATTCTTCAACTTGCCTAAGAAAATACATTCTCTTAATCACAATTCCATAATCACCCCTAAGAAAATTAACAATAATGTCATACACCATCTATTGATGCCATACACATTGATGCCATCTAATGTGTAGTCTTAATTGTTCTAATAATTCAGTAGCAGTGATATAATATGCATATATCCGTATTTATTTTATCTTCATTACCTGCTCTGCTCAATGAAGATTAGCCCTTTTTTCGGTTTTTTTGGCTGTGTTGGTTCTTCGTTGCTGCGCGTGGGCTTTCTCTAGTTGCGGTGAGAGGGGCTACTCTTCATTGTGGTGCACGGGCTTCTCATTGTGGTGGCTTCCCACTTTGTGGAGCGCGGGCTCTAGGCACGTGGGCTTCAGTAGTTGCAGCACGTGGGCTCAGTAGTTGTGGCTCGAGGGCTCTAGAGTGCAGGCTCAGTAGTTGTGACACACTGGCTTAGCTGCTCTGAGGCATGTGGGATCTTCCCGGACCAGGGCTCAAACCCATCTCCCCGCGTTGGCAGGAGGATTCTTAACTGCAGCACCACCAGGGAAGTACCAAGATTAGCCTTTTTTACAGTCCCATTTTCTCTCCCCCATCCTCCCAGTATTGCTTTATCACTGCTTTTGTTAAATCACTGAACAGTGTTCTCATTATTTTATGTCAGAATGTCCTAGCTCTCATCCCTTAGTTGTCTTCTTTCTTCCTTTTCTACCACATAACTCCCTTGGTGGTGGTCTCTTCCATTCTCCCAACTTTAAGTACAATCTGCATGTACTGACAGTTCTCAAATCTATATCTCAAGTCAGACTTCTCTTATTCTTCTATATCAGCTGCCTGTTTGTCATCTCCACTTAAGTTATCTGACATTTCAAGATAAACATGTCTAAAACTGAACTCCTGCTTCCTTTTCACCATAAAGAAAACAAACAAAAAAATCCTCTACCTTCTGCCTTCCCCACCTCTTTTGATGGCAATCCCATCCTTAGAGTTGTTCAAGCTAAAATCTAGGAGTCATCCTTGACTCTCACTCTCTCTCTCTCTCTCTCTCTCTCTCTCTCTCTCCCTCTCTCTCTTTTTGTCATATTCCATTTCCAGTCTATCAGGAGGTCATATTGCCTCTATCTTCAAAATATAACCAGAATCAGACCATTTCTCAGCAGCGTCACTGATCTAACCTTAATCCAACCCATGTTGTTTCTTGCCTGGATTATTTTAATAGCCCCTTATACTGGTTTCCCTGCCTATCCCCTTCCTCTAAAGTCTCTTTTCAGTACAGTTGCCAGAATAACCTTTGTATAATTTAAGTCATTTATTTGTTCAAATTCTTACAGTTGTTCTCCATTTCACTCTATGAAAAAAGCCACAGTGTTTACAATGACCTGTAAGACCCTACCATATCAAGTCTTTAATTTTGTCTCTTACAACTCTTTGCACTTGTTCATTGCACCTCAGTCACTGGGACCTCCTTGAACCCATTATATATGTTCCTGTGTTAAGACCTTTGCATTGGCAGTTCCTTCTGCCTGCACACTCTCCTAGAGACCCACCTTGCTGACTCCCTCAACACCTTCAGTCTCTGTTCAGCTATCGCTTTCTCAGGGAGGTCTACTCTGCACCCTATTTAAAATTGCAGTCTCCTCCCCACCCCCACCAAAGTACACATTCCTGATGCCTCCTTATCCCCTTCTACTTATAGCACTTATAACCTAGTCTACTCTACTGTTTACTTAGTTTACTTATTGTCTGTCTTCTTTCCACTTGAATATAAGCTCTTAATAAGAAAGAGATTTTTCTTTATTTTCTTTGCTAATATATATTGGAAGTTCCTAGAACAACCTAAATATCCAAATAGGCTCTAAATAGATATTTGTTGAACTAATACCATAAACTGCAAAGCCAAGTAGGGTGGTATGATTATAGTTTTGGGTTTTTTTTGGTTTCCTTGGTATTTCTAATTGATGCTTGCTTATGTTATCATTTTTCCCCATACTTTGCATCTCATTATCCAATCAAGTTTCCAGAAGACCACTTTTTTCCTCATGGAAAAATAGAATTTGTGGTTAAAAAAAAAAATATATATATATATTTGTGTGTGTGTGTATATATAGTGCCAGTTAATGTCTAAAATGGTGTTGAATCTTCTTAGTAATCAGAGGAGCAAATAACAATGAGGGTCTAATTTTTACCTGTCAAATTGATGAAACTTAAGTTTCTAATAAAAGGTAACATCAGTTTAACAGGGGTAAAGAGAAGATTACTTTCACTCTTGGGGTGAGTTTAAATTGTTGCACCTTCTCTGGACAGAAGTTTGGAAATGTTAATTAACCATATCCTTTCAAATACCAACACGAATATTTATTTCATAATTATTTATAAAACAAAAAACTAAAATCAGTCTTAATATTCAACAATAGGGAATTATTTAAATGCATTTTGACATAGACATGCAATTAAATTCTGTGCAGTCATTGAAAAAGAAGTTAGAGGATAGTGATGCGGAAAAAGATTACCAAATGGTTTTTATAGACATAGATAGCATGTTCCAAGATGAGCAAGGATTACTTGGATTGTTTTTTCAGCCGTGCTGTGTGGCATGTGGGATCTTAGTTCCTCGACCAGGGATGGAACCCGTGCCCCCTGCACTGGGAGCGTGGAATCTTAACTACTGGACCACCAGGGAAGTCCCTGGATTTTTTAAAAAATACTTTAAAAATACAGGTTTCAGGGGAGATGATTTCAAAAGTGACACCTTTCAAGTTAAATACTCAAAATAAGCTGGGTCATGTCTGTAAAATGTGAATAAATGAAAGGAGAGGTTTCTTAACCATTTCTTAACTGAGGAATCTGAGGCTCTTAGCACTAAATCAATTTACCCATGATAATAAAACTATAAAGCAGCTGAACCACTCTGTACTGTAGTTCATATATATATATAAAATAATTAGGTTCCAAGGACATATTATCTCTCTTTCTTTAAAACAGTTTATTTCTGTTCTAATACATATCACAAACTCACCCATTTTAAGTGTATATAATTTAGTTTAATAATTTAACAATTTAATAATTCCTAGTAACTTCATAGAATTGTGAAACCATCACTACAATCCAGTTTTAGAACATTTGTCTATTTCCTTTTTTTAATAACAACTTGAGATATAATTCACATATCAACCAGTTCACCCATTTAAAAGTATACAGCTCAGTTTTTTTTGTTTTTGTTTTAATATGTATTTGGGTGGTACGCCGGTCTTAGGTGTGGCACGTGGGGTCTTCGTTGCCGCATGCAGGATCTTTTAGTTGCAGCATGCAGGATCTTTTTAGTTGCAGCTTGAGAACTCTTAGTTGCGGCATGTGGGATCTAGTTCCCTAACCAGGGATCGAACCCAAGCCCCCTGTATCAGGAGCGTGGAGTCTTAGCCACTGAACCACCAGGGAAGTCCCAACTCACTGGTTTTTAATATATCCATCCATCACCACAGTCAATTTTAGAACATTTTCATTTCCACAAAAAGAAATCCTGTACTCATTAGCAGTCAGTCCCATTTCCCCCCCATCTCCTCAGCCCTAGGCAAGCACTAGTCAGCTTTCCATCTCTATAGATATCCTGGACATTTCATATATATAAATAGAATCATGCAGTATGCAATCTTTTGTGACTGGCTTCTTTTCACTTAGCATAATGTTATCAAGGTTCATGTGTGTTTTATCATGTATATTCTATTTAATATAAAATTTTCTCTATATTGTTACTATTCGCGTACAACTTCTCACCTAAAGCAGTCTTTCCCAGAGTGTTCCAAAATATTAACAGGTATTAAGGTTAATAAAGTATACTGGGGTCAAATAAATTTGGGAAACTTGGGCTAAGCAAAGGTCTGCATGTTTTACTACAGAATTTCTTAGCTGCTTATGTATGTTGTGGATGTTCAAGAAGGGAATATAGGGCTTCCCTGGTGGCGCAGTGGTTGAGAGTCTGCCTGCTGATGCAGGGGACACAGGTTCGTGCCCCGGTCCGGGAAGATCCCACATGCCGTGGAGCGGCTAGGCCCGTGAGCCATGGCCGCTGAGCCTGCGCGTCCGGAGCCTGTGTTCCGCAATGGGAGAGGCCACAACAGTGAGAGGCCCGCGTACCACAAAAGAAAAAAAAAGAAGAAGGGAATATAGTGTGAAATATTATAAATTTATGCTGTGTAATATTTCAAGGGCTAATTAACTCCTAGTGTTTACTGTATCTCCTATTTTATCAAGAAACCCTTTGTTACTTCGGGCTTTCTGATGGAGATCCATTTGAGAGATCCAGAAGCCTCTAGAAACAAAATTTCTCTTAAAATTGTTGACAGATCATTAAATATCGACAAAAAAGCTGTTTAGTTGTATATAATTCATGAAAGGATGATGTATTAGTTCGCTAGGGCTACCATGAAAGGTACCTCAAACTGTTTAGCTCAAACAATAGAAATTTACTGTCTTCACGGTTCTGAAGGCCAAGTCTGGGATGAAGGAGTTAGCAGGGTTGGTTTCTTCTGAGGACTGGGAGGAAGGGTCTGTTCCAAGCAGCTCTCCTCAGCTCTTGTAGATGGCCATCTTTTCCCTGTATTGTCACATCATCTTCTATCTGCATGTGTCTGTCTAAATTTCCCCTTTCTGTAAAGACAGCAGTCATTGTATTAGAGCTCACTCTAATAACCTCATTTTAACTTGATTATCTCTGTATAGATAGACCCTTTCTCCAAATAAGGCAACATTCTGAACTACTAGGGGCTTAGGACCTCAGCTTTGGAACTTTAGGGGATAACAGTTGAACCCATAACAGATTTATTCTTCATTATTAGTTGAATAACAAGCTGTTAATGGTGCTTGACCTGAGGGCGATGGCTGAGGTCTTCAGGAACTGGGTAGCTTATGGATAGGTAAGAGAAAGGAGTTTACTTTTTGTCAGTTTTCTGCTTATTTATTAAGAATAATTTATCGAATTTCCTATCTTTTTTTAAAATTTATTTTATTTATTTTTGGCTGCGCTGGGTCTTCGTTGCTGTGCACGGACTTTCTCTAGTTGCGGCGAGCAGGGGCTACTCTGCGGTGCACAGGCTTCTCATTGCAGTGGCTTCTCGTTGCAGAGCACGCGCTCTAGGCGTGTGGGCTTCAGTAGTTGTGGCACGTGAGCTCAGCGGTTGTGGCATGTGGGCTCCAGAGCGCAGGCTCGGTAGTTGTGGCACATGGGCTTAGTTGCTCTGTGGCATGTGGGATATTCCTGGACCAGGGCTCGAACTCGTGTCCCCTGCATTGGCAGGCAGATTCTGAACCACTGTGCCACCAGGGAAGCCCAAATTTCCTATCTTTTATCAAAGGACACATACATTAGTGTCAGCAAATCTGGGTATTAATACTGTTAGGTCTTCTTTATTAAGAACATTTCAATTCTCATATGTAGTTTTATTTTGCAATAATCCATCTGCAGTTAGTTTTACTATATTGGCTGTTTTTCCTTTTATCTTGTAGTAAATATTCTCTGCCCTGTTTTGTTTATGTTTCAGTTTTTTGTATAAAATTCATTCATGTTTGGGAACTAATTCCCCCAAATATTTATTGAATTGAGTCCTTGTATTTGAATCAGTAAAGTCCATTTTTTTCTTCCCTGTAGTTTCTTTATAAATTTCTTCCTGTTCTTATTCTTTATAATTTTCTTATAAAATCCAAACTGTTTTTAGTCGTATAATATTTCTTTGTTATTTTATCTTTTGAAAACTGATCAGTAATAGAAAAGTATTTTCAATCTGTACAGTAGTTGAAATTTTATCTATTAATGAGTCTTTTGCTGCTGTTGTATTTATTTTATAGATCGGGATGAGGAAGAAATAAACAAACGAGATGACAAAAGAGATATTAACAGATACTGCAAGGAGAGGCCCTCTAAAGATAAGGTATGTATTAAATACTGAAGTATGTTTGACATACATTATTATGTTTAATGTGTACAACACAGTGATGTGACATTTCTGTATAATACTGTTTTTTTATAATATGATAATTTCCATTTCTTACATAATCCAGACTTATTATTAAACATAACTAAGTGATGAACTTTATTGATCCTTGTATATCTATATATTACCACTCATCAGAATTCAGTCGGTTGTATTTTGGTATTTGTGGTTTTGTCAGATAATCAGTATGTCTTACTTCTTTCTTCTCTGTACATAAATCAGATCAATTCATTTTAGCTAAGATGAGGTAAAGATGTTTGCAGATTTTTGGTATTATATGGACACAGTCTAATTTTCTCACTTATCAGGGGTAAAAATTATGTACTGTATCTTCTGCATTTTCTATAGGAAAAAGAAAAGACTCAGATGATCACAATTAACAGAGATCTGTTAATGGCATTTGTTTATTTTGATCAAAGCCATTGTGGTTACCTTCTTGAAAAGGATTTGGAAGAAATACTTTATACTCTTGGACTGCATCTTTCTCGGGCTCAGGTAATCTATCTCGTGAATATTTAAAATTAAAAGCATGTTTAAGTAACTTTGTCTTTTTAGTACCTTTGACTTTTTGAAATATAAAAGCAATACAGGGACTTCCCTGGTGGTCCAGTGGCTAAGACTCTGTGCTCCCAATGCAGGGGGCCCGGGTTTGATCCCTGGTCAGGGAACTAGATCCCACATGCCACAACTAAGACCCGGTGATGCAAAATAAATAAATAAATTTAAAAAAAAAGCAATACAGGCTTATAGTAATACAGTTAAGCAATACTGAAATAAATAAAGTAAAAGAAGTTAAAAGTCTCTTCCTCTAGTTCCACTCCTTTGGTCTAATATATAAACTTCTAGATCCTTTTGTAAGCAACTCATATGTGTATATATATGATAGTTCCAGTTTTATAAACAACACATGAAATCATTCTAAACATACTGATGGACAACTTTTTTTCATTTAATAATATATCATGGGCATTCTACCATGAAAATGGAAACCCATTTTGTTCTTTTTCTTACTGCCTAGTATTCCATGGTATAGATGTGCCTTTATTGCCTTAACTAGTCCCAGTTGCTAAATGGCTTTCATTTTTTATAATTACAAGCTATGCTTTAATAAACGTGTTTGTACGTATACTTTATGTATTGACGTTTTTATCAGTTAGACTTTTTTTTAACAATTTTTTTCAAGTGATAATTTGATTTTAGGTTTATAGAGGAGACAGTTAAAAGCGTAAGTGCTCTAATTGAGTGGTAGTGGATACCTGAGATGCCATTGATGTTTATCATATGTGAAAATTAGAACACTGATGTTCAAGGAGAATCAAAAACTTATTTTCATCTTTTTAAATAACAGGTAAAGAAGCTTCTTAATAAAGTAGTACTCCGTGAATCTTGCTTTTACCGAAAATTAACGGACACCTCAAAAGATGAAGAAAATCATGAAGAATCTGAAGCATTGCAGGAAGATATGCTAGGTTTGAGTATATTATTTTAAGATCATGCCATTTTGTAACCATATTATTAATTAAAGAAGAAAATAACGTAATAAAATATGGTATATTTTAGGGACTTCCCTGGCGGTCCGGTGGTTAAGACTCCGTGCTTCCCCTGCAAGGAGGCACGGGTTCGATCCCTGGTCAGGGAACTAAGATCCCACATGCTGTGTGGCGTGGCCAAAAGAATATGGTATCTTTTATATTATAGGAAACAGATTGTTACTTCCAACACCGATAGTAAAACAGGAATCAAAGGATGTGGAAGAAAACGTTGGCCTTATTGTGTATAATGGTGCAATGGTCGATGTAGGAAGCCTCTTGCAAAAATTGGAAAAGAGTGAAAAAGTACGAGCTGAAGTGGAACAGAAGCTGCAGTTACTAGAAGAAAAGACAGGTAAGGAAAAGCATTGGATATGAGGTACTTTTAACACTCTATTGGGATATATGTGTGTACACACGTATATACATACCTATACTTGTGCATATCCATACCTTGTTTTAGTCTAGACACATATGTAAGTTTACTTTTCACCATTTCTGTTAAAGGTTATAAAATTGCTTAGCTTTATAAGAATTAATCTTAGATCTTCATGTGCATTCTCAAGTTCGATTGTTGTTCTGTTGCATCCTTTTAATCCTCCCCGGTTCCACTTAGTCTTCATTAGTTTCTGCTACTTTCTCTAGTCTGTACAATTATCTTAAAATGGAACTTGGATTTAGAAGTAATACTAGGTAAAACTTAATTTAAATGAAATGAGTTATTACAGTGTGTTTTATAACTATTAAAATTGACACTTGTGGCCAGTTTAAAGAATTATATACACTTTTTATTCTCCTAGCTTAAGTATTTTTAACCTCAGAGTTAAATTGGAAATTTTAAAGGGTAAGATGGTGAATTTGGTTTTGTTTTGTTTTGTTTTTTGACAGATGAAGATGAAAAAACCATATTAAATTTGGAGAATTCCAACAAAAACCTCTCTGGTGAACTCAGAGAAGTTAAAAAGGACCTTAGTCAGTTACAAGAAAACTTAAAGATTTCAGAAAACATGAATTTGCAATTTGAAAACCAGCTGAATAAGACAATCAGAAACTTATCCACAGTAATGGATGAGATCCACACTGTTCTTAAGAAGGTTAGCTGTTTTGTACCTTCAACATTTTCATAGTTTATTCCTTTTCTAAAAAGTCTATTTCTGGCAAATTTAATATTATTAAGCTCTTAGTGGCTTTTCTAACAGAAAATAGTGGTAGCATTCTGTCCTTCATTAGATTAGTCAAAAGCAATTCCCCAAAGATGGTATTTTCCTAGAACTTACTTCAGATGTCAACATGATTTATTTGTCCAGACTTTTTTTTTTTATCTATTTTTGGCCGCATTGGGTCTTCATTCCTGCGTGTGGGCTTTCTCTAGTTGTGGCGAGTGGGGGCTACTCTTCATTGTGGTGTGGTGGCTTCTCTTATTGCGGAGCATGGGCCCTATGCATGCAGGGTTCAGTAGTTGCAGCACGCGGGGTTCAGTAGTCGCAGCACGCAGGCTCAGTAGTTGCAGCACGCAGGCCCTACAGCACATGGACTTCAGTAGTTGTGCACGGGCTAAGTTGCTCTGCGGCATGTGGGATCTTCCCAGACCGGGTATCAAACCTGTGTCCTCTGCATTAGCAGGCAGATTCCTAACCACTACGCAACCAGGGAAATCCTGGTGTGCAGACTTCTTAAAAAGCAAGTTTCACTTGCATTTCTTTTAGAATCAGAGGTTGAGTTTGAACTTGAGGAAGAAAAGCTATTCACTTTTTTTTTTTTTTTTTTGTGGTACACGGGCCTCTCGCTGTTGTGGCCTCTCCTGTTGCGGAGCACAGGCTCCGGACGCACAGGCTCAGTGGCCATGGCTCATGGGCCCAGCCGCTCGGCGGCATGTGGGATCTTCCTGGACCGGGGCACAAACCCGTGTCCCCTGTATTGGCAGGCGGACTCTCAACCACTGCGCCACCAGGGAAGCCCCATTCACTTCTTTTTTAAACCCATTTATTGGGCAGAGTTGAGAAACTTTTTGACACTATCAAAATTAATTTATTAGTATTCTTTGTCTCAAAAATATCTAGTAACTCAGTGCCCTTGTAAACTAACTTCAGTAATTGAGAGACCTTCCACCTCCTGGGTCTCACTCAAAGAACAAGAAGAAAAAAAAGAAAAACTACAGTGCAAGGAATATACTGCTGTTAGTAATATAGTCCTAAGAACCTCTAATTTCTTAGGATTGAGATGGCTTTCTCAAATACTAGAAGTCATTCTGCACAGAATTGAGAGATTTCTTTCCTACTCTCCCCTTCCCCCCACCCGGTTCAATTTTCCATAGATGGTGAAATGGGCTATCTGCAGTATCTCTGTTTAGTAATGATTATTATTTTTAAAGTTACATTTAAGAGAATTTAATAAAATATACTTTTCCTTTGTGTATTTTATAGGATAATGTGAAGAATGAAGATAAAGATCAGAAATCCAAGGAGAATGGTGCAAGTGTATGATACAATACATGTAGTGATGAAGAATGCTGATAAGTAATGTAATATATAAAATCATGATACAAGAATGTTTGAAAGTGATGCATGTTTGAATTTAGTAGTATAAATATCTGTTAGTTCAAATGATGTATAAAGTTTTATGAATGTGAGAGTCTTTGCTTTTGAAAATTGCTTGTAATTCCTGGCATCCAAATTATTAAACACTCCTTGAGTGAAATAATTTTGCATTGCAAAATGTTTTAGGATGAACTTTGTTATAGTTTTAACCCCAATAAAGTTCATCAGTTTAATTGACGGTAGTGTTCAATTACAAATCTCTTTTATTAAAAACCTAGACAGTTGTTATTTTATTTATAGAATTATCATTACTAGGGTTTTTTTTTGTTTTTTTTTGGTTTTTTTTTGCTGTACGCGGGCCCCTCACTGTTGTGGCCTCTCCCGTTGTGGAGCACAGGCTCCGGACGCGCAGGCTCAGTGGCCATGGCTCACGGGCATGTGGGATCTTCCCGGACCGGGGCACGAACCCATGTCCCCTGCATCGGCAGGCGGACTCTCAACCGCTGCACCCCCAGGGAAGCCCTCATTACTAGTTTTTAAAAAAAATTTAGCCTTTTAAAATTTCAGTACGGGGCTTCCCTGGTGGTGCAGTGGTTAAGAATCCACCTGCCAATGCAGGAGAGACAGGTTTGAGCCCTGGTCCAGGAAGATCCCACAGGCCGCAGAGCAACTAAGCCCATGCGCCACAACTACTGAGCCTGCACTCTAGAGCCTGCGAGCCAGAATTACTGAAGCCCGCATGCCTAGAGCCCATGCTGGGCAACAAGAGAAGCCACCACAATGAGAAGCCCGCGCACCACAACGAAGAATAGCTCCCCGTTCAACGCAACTAGAGAAAGCCCGCGGGCAGCAACGAAGATGCAATGCAGCCAAAAATAAATTTAAAAAAAAAATTTCAGTATGAATCATAAAATAGGATTCTGCTTAAATTTTGCAAGTTTTTTGGACCACACTTTTTTTTGTTACTTGTCCTAAAATCCTCTCCAATTTTCAGTCTCTAAAAACATTTATTAAAAATTTAACTCATCCAAACGACAGTACATCAAAAACTAAGAAAATAATTGTTAATTGCCATTGTTATTATATATGTTAGGCTTTACATAAAACACATAGTTTTGATGTTAATGTTAACTGCTTTCAATTAACTGTTCTAGTTTCCCAGAATAGCACCTATATTACTTTTAATTTTGAGGGTTTTTTTTTTTAATGCAGTATATGTCAAATGTACGGTCTAGTACCAAGCCAGTAGATGTCAGTATGATGCCTTAAGTTAAGCCTTCCTTAATTAAAAATAGTTTGTTTTATTAGTCTGTGTATTTCCTTCAGAATTTTAGATACATAATAGTTTGTTAACTATTGAGTGAAAAGGTAGGAAATGTGACATACTCTAAAGCACTGGTTCTCAACAGGGAGTGCATTAGCCCCCAGGAGACGTTTAGCAGTGCCTGGAGACATCTATACCCTTCCCACCAAGGTGAATGCCACTGGCATTAGGTGGTCGAGGCCAAGGATTTGGCTGAATCAACTGCTTCGCATGGGACGGCCCCCCGCAACAAAGCGTTGCCCAGCCCCATATGTCAGTAGTGCCCCGCTGGAAAAACTCTGGTCTAAAGGAGTACAGGGTTAAAAATGACATGTCTTTGAGATAACACTAGTGGAAGCTGAATTGCATCTGTAGCAAATATCAGGTTTTCTGTATGTAAATAACCCTCCCTGGAACGTTTCACTGTCAGAGAATTATATAGTATATTAGGGTTTTTATATTTTATTTTGCTAGAATAATGATTTGGTGTTCCAAACAGGTTAATATGAGAATGTAAGTGCCCTGTTACATGTATCTTAAGCTGAATGGAATCCACGTAGCTCTTACTAAGAAATAGATTAAAATACTTAAAATTCTTTCAAACCAGTTTTTTTTCTTTTTACCTTAAGTTGCTCTTTCTGATTGTAATGGTTTGTTGAACTTCTCTGAGGTTGAATTACTGATTGACCCATAATTATACAGTTACTGTATAAATGTTTCTCTATCTTTTAGGTAAGATAAATCATTATAGGGTAGTTAGAAAGTTTTTTTCTCTGAGGAAAATCCTGGAGATAATCTTTTAACTAAAAGACAGTGAAGAATATAGTTCTTTAATACAGTATGATTTTTGAATGAGAAAAATCATTATAAAGTCTACCTGTCAGACTTATTTTTCCCAGAGATAGTTAAATGAGAATAATATTGGGAGAATGGAGAAAAAATATAAATCTTTCCATTATATTATTACTTAGAGGTAAATTACAAGTGGAAAATGAGATGAGTAAGCTAGGGGGGAAAAAACTACATATAGAATAATTGGTTTTAGTGAAAATGAGGTAAAGAGAACCTGTTTTTGTCTTTCTATAAACTGTTTTGGATTTTCATTCAGAAGTAAACATGCGGTCTGTTCTTACATTCTATCAGCTGACATTGACCAAACCAAAAAAAACTTAATCAGATAACAAAGTAGGTCTATGATAACATTTAATTTTGTTTTCCCATTTTTTTAATGTTCTGGATGCCTGTTTTTGTATTTCTAATACTCATTTAAGTCATTTTAAGACAATGAAATTTTAAGATTTTAATATTTCTTTCTGACTATTGCCTAAGTTGTAGAAAATTACTCCTCAAAATGTAACAGCACAAAAAAATCCTTTTTAAAGAGAATTACAGTGACACTTAGACTTTATATGTGTACAACTTTTCACTCTCAAAAGAAACATGTGAATACCCTGAACTGGGTGGGCTGGGGTAAGTGGGACAGACTAGCTGATGCACTTTTCGTCTATCCTTTCTATGCATCCTAAAGGCTCACAGTACACTTCACGTGTTACCATACAACTGCACCTCACCCCTTGCACAAGTGCATGACGTGCGGAGAACAGTCCATCTGTTGTGTACCCCTGGGCAACTCATTCTCTCTTTATACCCTAAGAGTGGCCAGGATATGGAGTTGTACCTTTGCTAAGGGGTCAAGCTTTGGGGACGTTTGCCAAAGATGGACTCAGGAGGAAAGACACTTGAAGATGCTTTTACATTGGTAAATCTTAGTATTCATCTTCAGCACCAGTGGAGACATGAACTTGGACACAGGACCAAAGACCATGACAATTCCAAGAGTCTCAGTTCTCAGGTACCTCCCCTGTGCTTCAGCTGAGGGAAAAATCTCAGGTGCCTTTGTTTTGTGGGCCACGGGGTCTTAGCTGAGATCATGGGGACAAACAGCAGGGATTTGTGCCACAGTGACAGTTGTGTTGTGCCTTAATACAAAGGCAGTTACTTCTTTCTGGTCAGAAAAGCAGTATTTGTTAGAGGGCAAAAAAAAAAAAAGCTTGGAAATTTCTAATTTTCTGCTAAAGAAAGGCATTTGGAATACGTTAAACATGGATGAGTTTGCTTATTAAACTATGAGTGAGGACTTGCCTGGTGGCACAGTGGTTGAGAATCCACCTGCCAATGCAGGGGACACGGGTTCGAGCCCTGGTCTGGGAAGATCCCACGTGCTGCAGAGCAACTAAGCCCGTGCACCACAACTACTGAGCCTGCGCTCTAGAGCCTGCGAGCCACAACTGCTGAAGCCCGTGTGCCTAGAACCCATGCTCTGCAACAAGAGAAGCCACCACAATGAGAAGCCCACGCTCGCCACAACTAGAGAAAGCCTGCGTGCAGCAACAAGACACAATGCAGCCAAATAATAAGGAAAGGAAGGAAGGGAGGGAGGAAAGAAGGAAGGAAAGAAAGAGATATTAGTTTCAGGAAGATGTAATAGGCATACTTTCCTGTATTCTTCCCATTTAACAATAACTAAAAAACTCTGGGACACGTCCACACACCCATGTTCATCGCAGCATTCTCTATATTAGCTATAATAGTAGGAAAGTTGTTAAAAGTAAATCCTAAGAGTTCTCATCACAAGGAATAAAACTTTTTTTTATCTATATGAGATGAAGAATGTTGACTAAAATTATTGTAATCATTTCACAATATATGCAAGTCATTATGCTGTACACCTTAAATTAATACAGTGCTGTATGTCTATTATATGTTAATAAAACTGGGGGAAATTTTTAAAATATATATATTAACAGGAATAAAAAACTCGATGACACAGCACTTCCACTCCTAGGTATATACCCAAGATAAATCAAAAGATATGTCCACACAAAAACTTGTTACATGAATGTTCACGGTAGCATTATTCATAATAGCCAGATTGACTGGTTCTCTTCCAGAAACAGTATCTCAAAGGTTAAAAATTCATCTCCTAGCAACATTTCCAACAGCCAGGTTAATGCCTCCTAAATTTGCAAAGCTGGTAAAAACCCTGGGATTAAATAACAGATGGATTTGGGAAATGGCATAAGTGCAGCCCAAGGCTAGTGTACTTTGTGCTTTAAAGAAGAATGGTTCAAAGTAGGTTTTAATTAAATATGTTATAGCCAGAAATAGCAAGTGGTCTTTGTGTGGTCAGGGACTGGCTTTCAAAAGGTCTATCTATCTAAGAAAGAAAATGAATGGGCATTAAATATTTATTCTTTATATGTTAGAAGTAGATTCTGTTCTTTCCCTGCCTGAAGGAAGATAAAAAGGCTAGAGATAGGCTTCCCTGGTGGCGCACTGGTTGAGAGTCCGCCTGCTGATGCAGGGGACACGGGTTTGTGCCCCATTCCGGGAGGATCCCACATGCCGCGGAGTGGCTGGGCCCGTGAGCCATGGCCGCTGAGCCTGCGCGACCGGAGCGTGTGCTCCGAGGCCACAACAGTGAGAGGCCCGCGTACCGCAAAAAAAAAAAAAAAAGGGCTAGCGATAACCAGTGAGCTGCATTTGGAAATACAATCTTACAAAGACTAGGAGGCTAGGTTCAACTATTAAGTGGATATGAGGTTCTACTGAGGCCAAATAATATGAAATATTAAACCCTTTACCATTTAGCTGGGGACCACGAGGGAATAACTTTCCATTGTTTTTGGCTGAATTTTTTCACCTTTAGAATGGGAAAAATAACATGACAAATTTCTTTGCTGAAGCATAGGCTACTAACTGCTGTATTAATTTTCCAAACCCTTATATGACCCTTGCAAAAAATTTATCATAGCAAACTAAACCCAAGACAAGTTTATGTTTTTGATTTATCTTGAATCTGAAAATTTAGAATGATCATAAACCACACAGCTGCAAATTCCTCATATTTTGTCTCTTTAGATGTGAGAAAGTTT